CTAGCATTGAACAAGTTACCTAGAGAAGTTGTGGAATTGCCATCTGGAAATTTTCCAGAGCTGGGTAGGCAGATACTTGACTGGGATGGTTGAGTCAGGGATGATCTTGTTTTGAAGAGGGGCCTGGACCAGATAACCTTGTAGGGCTGGAAGAGAACTTACTTTCCTATGATCCTAAGTTCAAAACAACATGGCTAAACTGCTACAATAATTGGCATAAATTGCTAGTGGCCATGTCCACAGAGACCCAGATTGATAAATACAGGAGTGAAATAAAGAACAAATGACTATCTAACTGTCTCTTTAAAAGCATTTCCATTTCATTATTCAGTTACCTTAGAAGTGTAGAAGAATTCATATAGGTTAAGAGGAGCTGATGGGGCTAACAGAGGTATTTGTCTAAAGTGGGAAGTGACCTCATCCTGTTCCACATCCAGTTAAGCTGTCTAAATCTTTATCAGATATAGTGACACCTGTCCATCCTGATTGATGGTAGTAATAAAAGTCATCTGATTGGGACCATCCGCAGCTGTTTTTCTCCCAGCTTAATCTTCCAACAAAACTAAGTCTTCTGGGTCAGCAGTTCGGCTTTGCTTTTGGCTAAAGTAGAGTCTATCTTTTTTACATTAATCCAACAATAAGTATTTTTTTCTTTTTACTATTTTTTCATCATAGCACTGAGTTTATCCCTGAATGTTTAGCTCAACTTGTGCAACTACAAGTATTTTAGGGAAAACTATCACAGATGTTCTTAACCTATTGTGTTGTGTCCTTTCTTTTCCCTCCCTCCTCTCATCAAGTGGAGTTCCCCAGGGGTCTATCCAAGGCCCAATATTGTTTGACATCTTCAATAATGATTTGACTGATGGCATTGATGGATGCTTAGCAAATGTGCAAGTGATACTAAGTTGGGTGGAGTTACAGATACTCTGGATGCTAGGACTAGGATCCAAAATGACCTGGATTGACTGGAGAAGTTGTCTTCAATCAATCAGATGAAATTCAACAAGGACTTGGGACAGAATTATCTCATGCACAAATACAGACTGGGGAGTGACTGGCTAGGCTTCAGTGCTGCACAGAAAGGACCTGGGGGTTACAGTAAACCATAAACTGAGATGAGCTAACAGTATGCTCTTGTTGCAAAAAAGGGCCAACAGGATCCTGGGTTGTATTAAGATGGGTGTCGCTTACAAATCAAGGGAAGTGATTCTTCTGTTCAGCAGTGGTGAAGCCTCACCTGAAGTACTGGGTCTGGTTTTGGGGCCCCCAGTTCAAAAAGAATGTGGACAGATTGGAAAGAATCCAGTACAGAGCAACAAAACTATGTCCTGGAAAGCATGATTTAGGAGGAAAAGCTGAAAACTAGGTGTGGTACATCTAGAGGAGAGGAGAGCTATTATAGTAGTCTTCACATAGCTGAAGGGTAATTATAAAAAGAATGGAAATAGGGGAAGAGACTGGGAGCAATGGCCTGAGGCTGCAGCAGAGTACATTTTGGCTGGAGATTAGGAAGAACTTTCTAAGGGTAGCCAAGCATTGGAAGAGGCTACCTAGAGAAGTGGAGTTCCCATCCCCAGAAATTTTCAAGAGTGGTTTAGGTTAGACAAATACTTGTCTGGGATAGTTGAGTCAGAGAGGCTCCTGCCTTGAGCAGGGGAGTGGAGTAGATGATCTTTTGAAGTTCCTTCCAGCCCTACTTTCCTATGATCTAAATTTAGTTTCAGGGACCTCCTAGCAAGCCTACTCTTTGTTAAATGTTATAAACTGCTTGCTTCACAAAGATGAGGGCAACTGAACAGTGCTTTCCTCTTACAGAATGCTTTCTATCCACAAATCTCAATGTAGTAGACATATACATTAATTAATATTCATATCCTGTAAGGGAGAAGAATAACTTTATAAGACATTCTATCATGGAAAAGCTAGGGGCAGGAAAAAATCAGCTTGAAAGTCCGTTTTTTAAATCACATCACTTACCTTACAATTGTTACTAGTAAAAACTAAGCTCCAATAGCTGTGGAATAAAAGGAAAGTAAATTCCCCATTTTTCCTTTCTCCCCAGCACTTTGTGCATTAGCCACTTCCCCTGTTCTGTAGAGTAGGGCTAGCTAACTGGCAGCCCTCAAGTCCCATCTGGCCTACAAGGGGTTAAAGTGCAGCTTGTGGGCTCCTGCTGGGCTGCCAATCCCCCATTGTTCCTGCTGCTGGAGTAGCAGGTGGGGTCTCTGAGCAGGGTAGCATGGCAGGAGGAGGCTTGGGAGGTTGGTGCCTGGGCAATGGGGGAGAGGTGGGCTCATATGGCAGCAGTTGTGGGAGGGGGCTCGCATGTGAGGTGGCTTGCTGTGCAGTGGGAGCTCCTGGGGGCAGGGAGTACTTTTGCTGCTTCTGTGGCAACAGCAGGATTGGGTTGGGTTGGGTTGGGGGTGGGGAGGCACTCCCTTGCATGGTTGCAGCAGCAGGAGGGTTTGTTCCACTTGCATGGCAGCAGTGTGGTGGGGGTTTGCCTGCAAAACAGTGGCACTGGGGCACTTGTGGTGATGGTGAGGGCTCATGTTGTTTATGCGTTGAAGGGACAGAGAATGGTGGGGATCTGAATGTGTGTGGCCTGGGGCCCACAGCTGGTGCAGTTTGTGGTTCCCAGCTGCTCTGAAGGTGCACAGGAGCAATTCTGCTACTTCATACAGGGATAGAGCTGGTGGAGCTTCTCTGTAGCATTAGCTCTTTATTGGAGAACTCCCTAGTAGAAACAGAAGCAGTAGTAAGTAACCAGACATGTCTAGAGAAAGGAACTGGAGGGAGGGCTGGACCCTGAGCATTCTTGGCCTGTCCTCTTGGACCCTGCAGAATAAAACAAAACTAAATGTCAGCAGAATGCAGAAAAATCTTTTGTTACAGTCCTGGTTGAGCCCCTTTCCCTAGTGACACCTTGCCAGGTATATGAGACCTAAACCTTGGGCTTCACAAACCTATTAAGCTTACTGAGTCAGTTGTATTCAGACACTTGACTCCCAAATCAGGCTTTTTAACTCGCTCCTAGGTTACAGACTCCATGTCTGGTACTCCTCAGATTAAGTTATGTTATGGTCTAGGTCAGAGCTCACAACAGAACTTGTCCATTTATAAAATTTTAAACCCTTCTGACAAGGGGCTCCTCCAGAGTGACTTCCAGTCTCCTGTTAGGTGATTTATTAATTTTGGTGAACCTGAAATCCACACTGGGAAAACTAGATCCATGGCTGCAGTCAACTCATTGTGTTTGGTTGCTTCCATTTGAATAGGAGATCATTGATGTTGATGACATCCATGGCTTTTTGCTCCTTCTCCCCCCGCTACAGCTGTTTGTCTTTTTCCTTATGAAAATACCATACTTACTGGTATTTTCAAGGAAAGATTTATTCCTTCATTCTACCTTCCAAAAACAAGGTGTGCATCTTACACAGGGGCATGGGCTATGCGAGAAAATATGATGATAAACAAGACATTTATGAGTGAAGCATAGAAAAATACTTCAGGATTGCTGAGAGATGGAATCTATCACAGTTACTAAGTGGGTTATTCATTTAAAATAACTAGAATGTTATTCCACCAAATGCATTTTATTCACTAAATCCAACTCTAACTTTGTTTGCTTTTAACAAGTAATACAATGCAATAAATATCTGTGATTGTAAATGCACATGTAGGGTATAGCACAGCACATTGACAAATCAAAAATAGTGTGGCCACTTTCATCTTTTTTGTTTAACATAATTTCTCAACTTGGATTCTAGAATATGAACTCAGGGCATGTAACTGCTGAGGAGTTAGCTACAACAGCATGGCATGTGGTAGTTTGTTTTGCTGTATGTAATTTGATATTTAGCAATGTGTAAACTGGGAATCGTACTCTTCCATCTTACAAACTGGAAATCAGGACTATCCAACTGGTGGCCTGCAGGCTGGATGAGGTCCATGAGGGGCTAACATGCAGCCAGTGGGCTCCCACCCAGCTATCACTCCCCTCTGTTGCTCTGGATGTAGCTGTGGCAGCAATAGCTGGGGTCTTTGGGCAGACAGCATGATGGGAGGTTCAGCAAGCATGCTGCCTATGCAACTGTATCAGCAAAGGAGTTTGGGAGAGTGACTCGGGCTCACCTGTGCAGTGGTAGCAGCAATTGGGGGTGGAGAGTCGCCCACTGGGGCTCATGCTACTCACACAGCAGTGGCAGAGGGACTGCACACAACAGATGTGCCAGGGAGTCTGTGCAGCCCCCACAGTAGGGCTGTGTGAAGCTTCAGTCGCTGATTCGATTCGGCGGGGATTCTGCCCAATTCGGCGGACAGATCTCTGAATCCAAATCGAATCAGGAGACGGTTTAATCTCTCCGAATCGAATTTACGACCCTCTGAATCGATTTAGAGAGATTTGGAAAGATTCGGACATAGACACAGCTTTAAATGTTTTTTCTGCGTACCTCAAGGTGGTACCAGGCAGCTTGTGAATGCTGGGGCGGATGGAGCATCCCACGGGAGCGCTGGGGGGTCACCGGTATGCTTGGCAGCAAACCTGGAAGTGGACCAGAAGCACTTGTGGTCCACTTCCGGGTCTGCCAGGGAGTGCATGGGGGGGGGGGATCCCTCCCCCCAACTCCCGACTCGGTGATTGGTGCCTCCTGGGTCTGGGGGGGCACCTGGGGTCCCCCCGTGGCCAGTTGCTGAGCCGGGAGGTGCATTCACAAGCTGCGCCTGGTACCTTGAGGTATATAGAAAAAACATTTAAAGCTGTGTCTATGGCCAAATCGCTGATTCTCCAAAACTTCAGCTGAATTGAATTGGGACAGTGATCTAAATCAATTAATCGAATCGCTGCCCCCAATTTAAACCGAATCCAAATCAAATACGGCCTGTTTTGCACACCCCTACCCCACAGCATACAGCTTCCACAGCATGTAGCTCAGGGCCTGTGACTGGTGTGGAATGTGTCACCCTGGCTACTCTCAAGTTGGACAACCCTGATCTAAATACATTAGATTTGTATTAACTATTACATGCCTTTATAAATATTACAAAGTCTTTATATAGATATTTAACATTCATTTCTCAATTTGTGCAGTCCTTTGTTTTCCTGGTTTCCAGAACGTTGGCAAAACTATCAAATACTCTTTTCTTCTTAACAAAAAAAGTACCCTGACCTAAACTGGTTTTATTTGCTTGGTCAGGTTTTTCACTTGACTTATGGAGATCTGCTGCCATCTGTAGATTTTCCAAATCTGCCAAAGAAGCTTCATTTCCATTCTTCTTGGAATCAGTTCTTTTAGAGATGGTGTCTCCTTTTGCATGCTTTGGGACCTCACATAAACTGTGTTGTAAATTTTCCTTTAAAAAGCTTTGGGTATGTGATGAGGAACAGTCATTCTCTCTTCCCTGATCCAGTTGTAAGCATCTTTCTCCATCAAAAAATGAGTGTGTTGTCTTAGAAGAGCTAATGTGACTTGAATCTGCCATGCTACTATGCAACGGCAGTTCTGTTTGGTATGGGCCAGAATTTTCTTTATCTATTCCAGACAAGAATTGTTCTTCCTTGTATTCATCAAAGCCCTTTTGCATTCTTTGTGCACAAGTCTCAGAAATGTTCATATGCTGCTGCTGCACTAAGTTCTGTGTGTCAGTAGTCTTTGGAGCAGGTTTCGCATGTGTGCTTTCAGAATGGGACTGAAGAGAGAATTCATCAACAGCTAAATTGGACTGTGGTGACAATACTTTCTTAGCGACCATGTCTGAATCCAAATCCACACATGTAAACATAAAATTGTTGCTCATGTGAGGTGCGTTAACATCTGCCATATTTAATGTAAAATTGTCTTTGCTGCAATTCTTCAGGGAAGAACACTGAGCTACTTGGTTTTCTTCCATATTAATTTCAGTTTCATCTTTCTGATCAGGCTTGTCAAACTGCAAAGTGAGAGCAGAAGATTGATCCAGTTGCAAATCAGTGGCATTAGAAATACTGTCCTCTTTACCTGCAGTAGATCTGGGAGAATATTTTAATGATAAAATTGCATTATCAAAACTTGTATTGTATTTGCAGAATGAATTAGAACTCATGTTTTGTGTTGCTGAATGTGGACTGGTAACGTACTCTGACTTGAACAGATCAGGAGTTTCATAAGTTGGCAGACCATCTGGGTTTAAATCTGACAAAATTATGTGACTGCTGGATTCATCAACCTGAGATGTATTGAGCTGAAGAGTGAGTGGATTTGTTTCAGACATACCAGTACCTGATTCAGAAGTAATAACTGTTTCAGAACATTCTTTAGTTTGATTTTTGTGTTCTTCCATTGCATCTTTAAATCCAGAGCTAATGTTAGGACTCCTTAGCAATGTAGAGAACTTCTCAGTACCACTGTTTAAGTAAACTTTTTCCAGTCCTGGCTGACTGGTTAAGTGATCATTGCCAATATCAGCTTGCTCAAATTCACATTCTGCTAAAGAATTACAGTCACTCAGTGTGAATTCAGACCCTTCATCTGTAGAGGTGCTGTCACTATAGATATCAACTGGATTGTTTTCGTTAGTAGTTTTAATATTAGATCCGTACTCTGGTATGCTAGCACAAGAGTTTCCTTGTACTTGCCAGGTGTTAAAATTCTCATATACATCATTCTTATAACTGTTGGGCAAAATAAAATCCTCCTTGTCACTAAATACATTCATGTTATCATTTATTTCAAGGACTGTATCATAGTTATGGTTTTGGGGCTTAAACTGTTGCATGCTTAGTGATTCAGTATGGGATGTCACTTCTCTCAGCCTAGGAGAATCCAGCATAGATGCTGCAAATTCAGAATGCAACAGATCAGAGCTTTTGTTTACATCACTGCTTCCAGGTATCTGTCCATTTACGTGTATTTGGGCTAAAGAGTTTCCTCCTGTGAAACATGAATCTCCATTAATTGAGTATTTTAGCCTATCATGTGATGAAATATCACTGCTTCTAGATTGGCTTGGATTGGTGTTTTTGCTGTTCTTATGGTCTGATCTTAAAGAAAAGTGTTCATTATCAGTAACTATATCTGCTTCACTAGCAGAATCAGTTGCTTGACTATTTGGAGACATCTTTTGTTTGTTTATTTTGATACTGTTGCTGCTTTGGTCTTGGTTTCTTTCTTCCTGTACTCTGTTATGAAGTGCAGCGTGATGCAAACTAGAGGAGCCTACATCTTCTGAGGAGCTTCCAGTCAAAAAAGATGAATTGTGCCATGCCTTGGTTGGTGCAGTTTTGTTATTCTCTCTTGTCAGGGTTTCAGCTGAAAAATGTTGATTGCAATATGTGTTTTCTGAAGCTGAACTTTTGTTTCTGCATATTTGTCTCCGCAAGGGGCTAATGTAAGGTCTGCTTAAAGCGCCAAGACAAAATGCACAAACAAATGTGATGAACACGGAGAGGCAGACTGCCAAGGTAAAGTCTTGCTCTGTTCTTCCTTGTCTAAAAGCAGCATTGATATCTCTGATATTTCTAACCAAGAATGGTGAAAGCTTTTGTTTCACTTTCACATCATAGATCAGATATTTTTTTGTCTTGTTGAAAATACACACGTACAGTCCTTCTGCAGATTTCCCAACATTATATATAACTAAATTGTTCATTTCATTCTGTTTAATATGAGGAAGCCAGTTATCTTTGGAAATTCTGCCACCAGGAGTCCACCAATAGACTTCTTTTTTTCCTGAAATGGAATAGAAAATAGTCAAGAATTAAAGGTTGACTACAACTATAAATCTTGTTGCTTGATGGTCTTGATTGTCATAACCATTTTAAAAGGACCCCATGCCTGGTATCTCTTTAAATATTTTACGTGCTAATTTTTCATTTTAAAACACTTATCTACCAATAAGCTGGTGGGTTATAAAAGGTATTCTCTTCATCTGCATTTCTGCTATGAACTGTCGTGTACCAAACTGCCACAGTTTAAATGAGAAAAAAAATTGTTGGGAGAATTTTTGGAATTACACAAATGCCATCCTGATTTACACTAATACCTGACTTACTGTATCATGATAAATATTTATCTATAGCTGTATCTATTTGACAGTCAATTGAAACTTCTCTGAGTGCACTATATGGCTGCCCATAGTTTATGGCAAAGCTTTCAGGTACTGTATTTACATATGGGCTCAAGAATCTGTATGAACTTTCTGTTCATTTTTGGATACAATTCAGTGTATTTGGGCATTTGGAGAGAAACTTTCTCGCGGTTTTTTATTCTGGTACTAGATACTAGCTGGCAAATCTCAACGTATTTGTTCATTTGGGAGGTAAACCATTCTAAAAGAAAGGTCCTCAAACCTGCTTTTTACTTTCCCATTAGTCTGTTGGTGCCCAGCTACCTTGCCTTCCTGACCAGAGCAGCATTTCCTTGTTTATTCAGACTCTGTCTTAGCCTTTCCTCTAAGCAGGGAAAGTCTTAGCCTCATGGATTTTGTCACTGACATTCAGAGGGTTTAATATTAGTAGTGGGTCAAGGAGAAATTGTTTATGGAGTGAGTTGTGAGCTTAGGGCTTTGGGTAGTGACAATGATAAAATAAAACTCCTTTCCCTTCAACTGTTCATTATAAAACACCAACTTGTTCCATCTTATTTCTCTTTGAGTTACCCAGAAACAGTATCCAATAGCCATTGTTTCTAATAGACCTATTCTGTTCTCTCCATCTTCCAAACTACCTAGCAATTTCTGATATACTAGTTGTTCTTAGCTACTTGTCTGACTACTGTTTCATTATAAATTAGCCTCTCTCATGTCCTCATCTAGCAGCATTTTTAAATAAAAGTATTTTAAAGCTAACTTTAAGAATTAACATAAAAATTGTGATAAAATACACCTGAGATTATTTAGTGTGAAACCTTTTTAATCCTGCATGTATTTTGCAGGAATTTTAGCTGTGGATGGATACACAATTGTGTTACATACCCCATGTTTCATCCACGCCACAGTGTAGCACAGATGTCTCTCCTGTTTCCATAATAGCTTTCTTTAGTGAAACATTATCATCCACAAGCATTTCACAGTTTAAATCCAAACTTGTGAGAGACAGTAGAGGTTTTCCCAGGTTGCTGATAGGTTCGCTGCATAAAATATTCAATTTTTTCCTCAAGGATGCAGAAATAAAACTAAGGAATTGTTTGAAATGCATCAGCCTGCAATTGCATATCCAGGGATTATTTGATAAATCCACTTCAAGATGAAATATGTTGAGTTCTATGAACATCTCTGGTAGAATGGTTGTCATAACGTTGTTGCTGAGATCAAGAACCTATTTGGAAATAAAGTGCTTAAAATTAATTTATAAAGAGCTCTAAAAAAGAATGGCATGTAACTTTTGTATCATTAGAACAAATGGCATCTTAAATATATGAATACTAAACACTTAAGGAAGCAGGAGAAAGGAAGCATTCCTAATATTGTAAATATAATTGCCCTACAGTTTTGCTGATTGATTTGATCATTTAAAAGGTACAGAAAATGCCAATTCATATATTAAGAGCAAAGGTTTCTCTCCACAAAATTTGATCATAATATGTGGAGGAAAGGTCGGGGCGTGGCACTCTACATTAAGGAGGAATACACATCCTC